TCCGTAACACCGGTCCAGCAATAGCCACAAAGAGCAATTATTGCATTAAACTTTTGGCCTTTATATTAATGTTATAGGCAGGTGGGGTGCGGTGCAAATACACTCATATCATCCAGAAATCAATGTTCACAGTCAAAGTTAGAAGGCTGCATTGATATTGTGAATGGATAGATATTCCAGCATCTTGCCATTTAATGTACATTACGTATGTGTATGATTTTGATTTGAGTTTGAGTAAAGTAGACACGACGACTGCTTAGACTGGTGAAGCTAGTGTGCTTATGAGAGTCATGATTTTAATAACAAAAGCTCGATCGTGTTTAGCAGTGAGAACTCGCAGTGAGGACTTGTGTTTTAGTGGAAAGAACCTTTTCACCCCCGAAATGAGGTCAACGTACAACTTTGGAGAGAGAGAGAGAGAGAGAGAGAAAAACACTGCTTTTCAACAATGTGAAAATGCGGGAGCCCTCGGTGTGGCTGGCAATCTGTTAGTTTGGAGCTGTGCATGGCTATTGTGGAAGTTGTTGCCCTGAAGGTATGTGTAATCCTCTGTCACAAGTCGAAGCTGTACAACCGCATTGGTAATTAGCCCCGGAGCCGGCAGATGTTCTGTGGTAGACATCGGCACGCGACTGGCCTCAGCCCCGCAAGAACATTGAACAAATAATCTTTCCTAGTTTTTAAGAAGAAAAAGAGAGAGAGAGAGAGAGAGAAAAAAACTCCCCCCCCCCCCTCCTCCCCCTTTTTTTTTTACCCCTTCAAACCCAGCAACAACAGCAAAAAAAAAAAAATGACAGGAACAGGAGGACCACTTTCAGATTGGCCTAACTGGAGTATAAAAACCACGCACAGGGAGCAGCTGTGGCTGTGGTAATCTGATCCAGAGACAAAGGAATGCCCCCTCGGTTCCAGGATCACAGGTAAACATGCCAGCTTTGTTATGAAAATGAGGGCTGGGACTGCCGGAGCAGATGATTTTCGATGGATGGCAGTGTTTGAAAAGAGACAGAGGGCTGCTTATCCATCATCTGCCTCCCCCCCCCCCCCCCACCCCCTGCGCCAGATGAGCCACGCGACTGGCTCTTTCTTATTCTAATCAGCTCATGCCGGAGCACCAGTTTGCGCAACTTTCTGCTCACACCCCTTCCAAACTTCTTAATCCTTTTTTTTTTTGGTGGGGGGGACAATTAAGCCCGACTTAACTCGCGGAGTTACGCACTTAAAACATCACCCGGCAGCATGGGTTATTCGCTCTGGAAACCGCTCATCCCCCCCTTTTTTTTCTCCCTTCCCCACTATTCCAGCTGTTTTCAAAACGTAAGCAGTGAAATAAAATGCGTGTACCATTAACTTGGATTGAAAATCACCCAGCACGGTTCAAATCTGTTCGGATTTCGGGACGGTCAAGTGGTTTACACGACTGGCGGGATTACTTGGTTGAAGAATGGAGGCAAAGGAGATAGATATTGCCATTTTAAAACGTCGATTGCACTTTTCCGTGTTTTGGCCAGGGATCCATTTTCAAGTGTGTGTGTGTGTGTGTGTGTGAAATAAATACATTATAAAGTAAATCGTCCTCTGTGGCGAGTTTTGCTCCAGCAAGTGTACTACACATGAATGAAATGAAACAACTGATGAAATGCTAGAAATCGTGACTGCTCTTTAAGAATTGTGATTGCTGTTCAGGGTCTATTGATAGGATATTGCCCGTGAACTTTCCTCTCTCTCTCATTGTTTTTAAAACTGAAATGTATTTAGGTCTGCAGCGAACACAAAACCTGCACCTGCTGGGCAGATTACATCTTATTTATGACAACGACGGAGACTTCGAGATCCAGTTTAATAGACGAGCACCGAAACAAGTTATCTGATTGGCAATTACATGACATTAAGGTGAACTGCGAGGTCGTTAATGATTTCCCAATAAGTGAATCAGGCGACTTAGATATTCTCCAAAACACGTGCTTGTAACCAATATGCATGCTTTTTTTGGGGAGGGGGAAGGGGGGGGGTTAGTTATGGATGTGTTTCATTTTAACTCCCAAACAAGTCTAGCAATCTCCCATCCAAACACATGTCGATCGTCATACCGTTACAGGTTCTTTAACATGCTTTAGTGTAATTCGGATGGAAGGATCGCATATGTAAGTGTGGTACAGAGACATGCGATTTTAGTGAAATAGCGCCATTTGTTAGGAGCAGATGGCTGGCTAGCGGCTGACCGCGTCTGAGGCGTGTCGTACCCCTTGAGATTGAATCCCCCAAGGGTTCCCCTTGTCTTGATAATCAATGAAAATTAAACTGGAAAAAGCTGAATAGTTAGACCTTGAGTCCCCAGCGATGTCCCTCTTTGTTTCCTTAGCTACTGGTGGGCAGGAGTTAAACTACAACAGCCTCCTATAGAACCACTTAGTTAAACAGTCGCTCTCCCACCCCCTCCTCCTCAAACCCAGGCTTAGCGAGAAAGAAAAAAAAAAAGAGCTTTCTGCCTGATTTCACGAAGACAGAATCGCGTGGCATAAATTAAGTTTGAAAAGAATAAGTGCACTGGGTAGGATTGCCATGTTTTAGTATGCCTCTCAGTTACGGTTTGCTGGAGTAATCGAGAAATCTGTGCCACGTCAATTCAACAAACGCATGCTGGGGGGGGGGGGGGGGGGTTGAGAAAAGGGACAACTTTTTGTAGGTTTAAACCCTCGCGCGTGGTTCTTATTTACACTTTTTTTTAAAAAAAAGAAAAACCAGTTTCGAAATGCATTAACTTCCAAACCATTATTACTTGACGCTTTTGAATGCAAGATCTACACAACACACTCATTGTTTACAGAAAAAAAGAAAATAGGGAGGAGGAGGAGGTGGGAGAGAGAAAGAGACACACATTACACTTGTTGCAGGTTAACTACATCCTTTCGTATAATGTACACATGACTGAAAAATGCAGTCCAGCTTCCAGTGAGTGTGTTTTCCCTAAATCCGTGTTTATGCGTTCCGTCTTAATTAATATGCTTGATTTCTCTGAGTGCTTGCAGTGCATTGAAAGAGAAATCCGGTCAGATGTGGGTAATAAGGACCACTGGTGCCCAAAAGTGAAACAAAAAGATACATTTGGAGCGTTTGATCAACTTTGGTGCTAACATCGAAGCAGACGGTTGCTGGCCATTTGGTCCCTAAATTGAGCATTTGACAATTAATTGACAAACACGATACACAAATGAACGTCAAATGCTCTCAGAGCTGCTCGACAACGATTGCAGTACCGGCGCGGGCTGTTATAACGGGCTGGTGCAACTATACACACACACACACATATATATATATATTAACAATAAAGGAATTTTGCCAAGTTGAGTGACAGTTTCCAGTAAACTTTTTTTTTGGGGGGGAGGGTAGAGAGAGAGATAGAGGGTAGATAGAGATAGATAGATAGAGAGAGAGGGAGGGAGGGAGGGGGGAAATAAACAAATGCTCTTGTGTGCTGGGTGTTTCTGATGGTTTGCTTAATAAAAAATAATGAGCGGACGGACGGTTGGTGGGTGGGTGGGTTAGTGAGTGAGTGTGTGTGTGTGTGTGGTGTGGAGGAGATGGTGCTGTGCTGGGCTGTGCTGGGCTGGGCTGGGCTGGCCTGGCTGCAGTGCAGTGCTGGGCTGGGCTCCCGATGCAGACATTGTTGTAGAGTGGGCTGGTAGCGTGCGCCAAGGGGGTGCTGCTCTATTGTGGAGAGCAGGTGCGGGCGGCATTACCATACAGCTGAGAGCACAATGAGCCGCCTTTAGCTCAACAATAACAACTGCCTTAATGACAGCCACGCGAACGACACACACCCCAACCAACTTTTTTTTCTCTCTCTCTCTCTCCACCCACCCATACACACACACACACACACGTACACGCACACACATCTCACACAAACAAAAATCCCACCCCCACCCCCCCCATCCACATCCACCACCACCACCACCAAAAAAAATTTGTCGCTTTCATCACAATTCTCGATCGAGGTTTTTTTTTAAAAAAAAGCAGGATTGTTTTCTAAAAATGTTAAGTGCTGCCTTCTCTCTCGGTCGGGCTGCAAAGGGGGTTCTCTTCTCCACACCGCAAACCCCCACCCCCCCCACCAACCACCTGCCAAACAAAAACTTGGGAACGATTCGCTTTTAACTCGCGAGAAATGTCAAGAAGTTACAAAACAGTGAAGGAGGAGGAGGAGGGAGGGTGGGTGGGTGGGTGGTGGGGGTAAAAAAAAACAATCTCCTGTTACAAAGCGTTTGGGTGAAAATAAACTTTGCAGGTTGCCCTTGCTGTGTGTTTCTATTTTTTTTAAAGAAAAAACCCTGTGCTGCTATTTGGCTGTTAATGGGGGTATAAAAAGGTAAATGGGGGGGGGGGGGGGGGTGGAAATGCTTTGCGGTTTTTTTTAAAAAAAAACTTGCTGGAATTTAAATGAGTATTTCTATAACCAAGAGAATTGCCCATTTTACAGCTCAGTGACCATTTGGCAATCTATTGAGGAGGGTGAAACTGGCCCCTTTGTGACAGCTCGCCAGATTGGGGGTCAAATAATCTGCATGTCATTAGGATTTCGGAGCTGCGGCTGTATATAAGGGGCGCCAGACGATTCCTGCATCAGTTGTTCAGTGCTGCGGATTGAGTCGAAACGAATTAGAGCGAGAAAGAGGAAAAGAGCAACAACACACACACTCACTCACTCACTCACACACACACACACAAATACACAGGATCCGCACTTCTAACAAGCAGACGAGAACATCAGGGTTTCTCTGGACTTGGCACCTACCGGTCAAAATCTGTCTTGTGCCTGTAATTGGAATTATCGTGAGGACAAGGAATTTCGAGATCGTCCCTAAATTTCCTGGGACCCGTTGTTACTAGTTTTGGAGTTTTTTTTAAAAAAAAAAAATTTTTTTAGGAAAAAAATATATAATCCGGGGTGGGTGGGGGGGTTGGAAGAGTGGAAAAAAAAAGCAAAGAGAGCGCACAAAAAGCGTTTATATATATATATGTTTATATAGAAGAAAAAAAAAGCCTGCCGTTTGGTATCGATCCTCAGATGTTCGCTTCTTCCAGCAACTGACCCTCATTGAGAAAGAGCTGTCACTCATCGGCGAAGGGCGGATCTGTGAAGAATAAGAGCTGCCAAGGCAAGGACCTGAGAGCAAAACAGAAACCCTCTCGGTGGAGCTGAAGGTCTACCTACCCACCCAGACCCAAAGCTTCACACGTTACTCCCGACGCCAATGTTGTTACCCACCATGGGACGCTATCGCCTTCTCGCTGCCCTGCTCCTCGCTGCCCTGCACCAGGTAAGAAGCGCTCGGACTTTCTCCCTTTTTAATTTTTCCCCCAAACAAGGAAAACGTTTGCTCATTGCCGACTGACTTCTGCTGTCGCCGCCTTATAGAGCTGATCCGCCTTTTCTTTCTGTCTCTCTCTTCCACCCCCCCCCCCCCACCACCCACCCTTACAGGCTTGTACCTCTGGGGTGTTTGAGCTGAAGCTGCAGGAGTTCAGCAATCGCAAAGGGCTGAGTGGGAATGTGAATTGCTGTCGAGGTGGTTCCGCTTCCAACTACGGGCTGCCCTGTGAGTGTAAAACTTTCTTCCGCGTGTGCCTGAAGCACTACCAGGCGAACATCACCCCTGAGCCGCCATGTACTTACGGAAGCGCCCTGACCCCGGTGCTGGACCCCGGCTCCTTCTCCAGCCTGGAGTCCGATGCATTTAACAACCCCATCCGATTCCCCTTCGCATTCACCTGGCCGGTAAGCTGTCTTTTATATATATATATATATATTTATATACATCATATATATATATATCTTATGTTTGTATTTTAAAAGTAACTGCACACACACAACACACACACACACACACAGAGAGCGCTAATGGTGTGGGAAACTTCACAGCCCCTCAGCTGACAATTTTCGGCCCAGCGTGAGATTTCCAAACGGCCTCGTCTTACAATGTTACGCGTGAAACCAGAGAAATTAAGCGTGAAGGTAAATGACAACTGTCCCCTTCTGCCAATATCCCGTCCCGCGATATAAGCGCACGTTTGGAGGTCTCTCCCCCCCCCCCCCCCCTCCTCCCCACACACACACACTCTTCCCTCCACGAACATATCACGAAGGTCGCGGAATGAGTGGGTGATTTTTTTTTTGTGTGTGTGTGTCGATCCCTCTCTGTGTGGTTTTGATTTTTTTTTAAAAAAAAAAGTCTCTCAATCGACTCCCACTCGTTCTCTTTTAACTCTTCTTTTTTTTGTGTGTGTGTTAATTTCAGGGAACGTTCTCGCTGATCATCGAAGCTCTGCACGCAAATCCCACTGACGACCTTAGCACAGGTAAGGCTCGCCCTCCCTTTCCACCACCACCACCACCACACAACAACAAGATTCCCCCCCAAAACACGTTAACCCCCCTACACCCGCGGCGTGGATGGCCGTGTCATGTCTCTGTGATTTGTTGCAGCAGATAATCCCGACCGTCTCATCAGCCGTCTCGCCACTCAGAGGCACCTCGCGGTGGGCGATCAGTGGACTCAGGACGTTCACATCAGCGGCAGAACCGAACTCAAGTACTCCTATCGCTTCGTCTGCGACGAGCACTATTACGGGGAGGGCTGTTCGGCCTTCTGCCGACCGAGGGACGACGCCTTCGGGCACTTCAGCTGCGCCGAGAAGGGCGAGAAGATGTGCAACCCGGGCTGGAAGGGCGTGTACTGCACTGACTGTGAGTAGCTCTGCTTTTGCATCTAAACGTTTATGGATGATGGGGAATGGGGGGGGGGGGGGGGGGAGTGTGAGCCCCCGGGAGGGAGGGGGGGGGGGGGGGGCTGCCCCCTTGGCTTGTGTGTGCAAACCGCTGTCAGATCCCGGGGTTCCGGCTGAGTGAGATCTTATCAAGTCGGAGGCGAGTGTGTGGTTTCGATGTGTGTAGTTATTTCTCAACAACCCCCCCCTCCCCCCCCCAAAAAAAACTGCACGGTTCGTTGTGTGTGGAGTATGTTTGGTGCCTCTCTCTCTGTCTCTCTCTGTCTTTAATGATGTCTGCCCTGGTTTTGCTGAGGAAGGGACTGTGATGGAGAAGAGACCTTTTTTCTTGGGGGGGGGGGGGTGTGAGGGTGGAGGGAGAGGGTTGCCTGGTCGGAGGCACTGTATTGCACGGCACGGGTCGCTCTGTGTTAATGGAGGGGGAGGTGATTGGGGGGGGGGGTGCAGACCTCATTGGCCGCCCCCCCCCCCCTCACCCCTTGCTCGTGCCGCGCATTAGCGAGAGCTGCGCGGCGGGTGCGCGGCCAATGGCGCCCATTGGCTGTGACTGGGCATTGTTGTGAGCGAGTGAGCGAGCGAGCGAGCGCCCAGGCAGGGAGGGGAGGGCAGGGCAGGGCAGGCAAGGCAGGCAATGCGAGGCGAGGCGAGGCAGGGCAGCTGCGGGCTCGGCCAGAGAGAGAGAGGCAGCAGACAATGGAGCAGCTGTCCCGCTGCAGCCACCCTGCAAACCAGCTGTCCACTCTTATCTCCACACAGCGAGATATTAAGGGGTGGAGTTGGGCAAAAATAAAAGGGACTTCTGACCGACACTGAAAGGGATGGAGGGGAGGGGGGGGTTGGAGGGGAAGCTTTGTGTTTTTTTTACTCTCTCTCTCTCTCTCTCTCTCCCTCTCTCTCCCCCCACCCCACCTTTTGTGTGTGGGGAAGTGCGTTAAAAGCACAACATCCCCACCCCCACCCATTCATCCCCCAGTGATAACCAAAGGAGCCAGTCACCAGGGTGAAGTCAGTGGGGACACCCCCCCCACCCCCACCACCACCCACCCACCTTTTTTAGATCACTTCTTTTTCATAAAAAAACAGCAATAATAATAATAATAATAATAAGCCTCGCAACCCACACAGCGGCTTGTCGTTGTCGTTGAAGGTGTCAGAAGTGCTTAAGCAGAATATATTGTAAAATGCACCGACTGTATTTAGTGGGCAATTTTTTTGATATTAAAAAAATCACTGCATGTATAGAAAATAGTTTTATTTAATGCCCTATATATTTATCTTGGTTTTTATTTTGATGCATCACTTTTCAACTTGCAAATCTGAGCAGTTAACGTGTTAACGTGATACTTAAGTGTGTGTTTTTTCTCTTTCTCCCCCCCCTCAGCAATCTGTCTTCCCAGTTGTGATGAGCAACATGGATACTGCGACAGACCTGGAGAATGCAAGTAAGTAAGAAGAGCTTTTCAGGGGGGTTAATATTACATAAAAGGGTCAGTAAACGATCTGTATCAGAAGGTGCGTGGGAATGGAAGGGATCTTCAATAGTTCAAAGAAACTCGTCTCCTTCTAGCTTCGAGGTAAATTTGTAAGCCTGGGAAACCTCAGGCCTTGGGGATCAAGTAGCAGAAGCAAAACACTGGTGTTAACTTCAAGTTCACAGTGCACTACTGCGAAGTTAATATTTGTAATTATAGTAAATGTAATAAGTAGAACAATTTAGGGTCGTTCACTGCTAATGTCTCTGCCTTCTGGTATTGAACACTTGGTAAGATCGCCCTCTATTGGTGGGTTGCACTTTGTCAGTAGTTCAAACTTTTCTATACTCTTAACCCAAGATGGACAGCTTACATTTAGTGTTTCTTTCCTACAAATCATCACATTTGACTACCATCAATGTTTTCAATCCAGCGTTGCTGGCTAAATGTAACTGAGCACTTGTTTATACATTTTACAAAGGATTTCAGGCATCTCGTCAGGAAAAAAGATCTTAAGTAAAAGCCAAAGTGGAGATCTAAGTTTATAAATCAAATGATGCATGCTGCACCTTTTGTGTTTTCTGGTACCCACGTGGTGTTAATAGCGTTTAATGCTGGGTCCAAAAATGCCACATTGGCTGAATCAAAGTTGTGGCTTAGTCTAGTCAATGTGTTCACGTAGAAACCTTTGCAGGAATGTTATCTGGGTTAAAATCTCTCAACCTTTGTATGACTAAGTATTTAATTCTTGTATTTCTAGATGTAGAGTTGGATGGCAAGGTCGCTATTGTGATGAATGCATTCGCTACCCAGGGTGTCTTCATGGCACATGTCAACAGCCATGGGAATGTAAATGTCAGGAAGGCTGGGGTGGCCTCTTCTGTAACCAGGGTAAGTTTTTATGTGTGAGAAAAATAACCAATTTTGTGAAGTACCTGGGTCTTCCATCCATTAAATGATTTGGTGTTGCATTACAAGATCTCATTTATTCTCCTCCTTCCATCCTAGACTTGAACTACTGTACTCACCACAAGCCTTGCAAGAATGGAGCCACATGCACAAACACTGGTGAAGGAAGCTACACCTGTTCTTGCCGTGTTGGATTCACTGGTACCAACTGTGAAATCGAGATCAATGAATGTGATTCCAACCCCTGCAAAAATGGCGGAAGCTGCACGGTATGTGGGTCAGAACGTTAATCTGAAATTAAAATCTCCAGTAGTATTTTCAAATATAAATCTCGCACTGCTTTTACAATTATGAGCCTTTTTATTTAGGTAACCAATTAAAAAATGTTTTGTTTCAGGATCTGGAGAACCGTTACACTTGTACTTGCCCACCTGGGTTCCATGGTAAAAACTGTGAATTGAGTGCAATGACATGTGCTGATGGGCCCTGTTTTAATGGAGGAAGATGCACAGATAAATTGACTGGTGGCTATAACTGCCTCTGTCCCACGAGCTACTCTGGCTTCAACTGCGAGAAGAAAATTGATCACTGCAGTTCAAACCCATGCACTAATGGTGAGCAGAATCACAATATTTAGCTTGGAAGCAGATAATTAATACTTTCTGATAATGATGTGTGCCTTCACAGCATAGAAACCTAACTGTTTTCTTCTCTGTTTTAGGTGCTCAATGTCTGGATGTTGGGAACTCCTATCTATGCCAATGCCATGCTGGCTTTACAGGAAGAAACTGTGATGTTGATGCTGATGACTGTGTAAATTTGCCTTGTCTCAATGGTGGGGTATGTCGGGATGGAATCAATGATTATACCTGTAACTGCCGCCCAGGATTTAGTGGCAAGAATTGCAGTGCATCAGCCAACTTGTGTGAAAACAACCCTTGTCACAATGGTGCGACTTGCCACAAGAGAAATAATCACTACGCCTGCCAGTGTGCACGTGGATATGGTGGCATTAACTGCGAGTTCCTGCTTCCTGACTCACCTCAAACTGTTATTGTGGACGTACCGGACAGCAAGGGACAATTCCCGTGGGTTGCAGTGTGTGCTGGAATTATTCTAGTTCTCATGCTTCTGTTGGGATGTGCAGCAATTGTGGTCGGTGTTCGAGTTAAAAGACAGAAGAGCCGTCACCAGCCTGACATCTCCAAGAGTGAAATGGAGACCATGAACAACCTTACTGACTGCCATCGTGAAAAAGACATCTCCATTAGTATCATCACTGCCACGCAAATCAAAAACACAAATAAGAAAGTGGACTTGCAATGTGACAGCCCTGCAGAGAAAAATGGTTATAAGGTTAAATACCCTTCAGTGGATTACAATCTGGTGCATGAGCTAAAGAATGAAGACTTTCTCAAAGATGAAAGGAATGATGCCAGTGATCCAGATGTGGAGGCCAAAAGTGCTGTACAGCATAATGGGTAATTAATTTAACTTAAAAAAAACTAATTTCTGAATTATAACCAATTAATCAACTATCTTATTTCTGCTCGATTAACAGATTTAACAATTTATATTAGTCAACTATCTAAATTTTATTTCTACTCTATTAACAGAGAACCATCGGAAAGAAAACGACCAGAATCCACATACTCTAATTCAAAAGCCACAAAGTATCAGTCGGTGTATGTCATATCTGAAGAGAAGGATGAATGTATAATAGCAACTGAGGTATGTACTTTCTTCTGAATAACATTTTCTTCTAGATTAATTATGCTTCTGCTTTACTTCATTATGAATTTTGATACCTTGTATCCAACTGACTAGACTCTCGTGGCTTAACTTTACTGCGAACGATCATATAAGATGTTTAAATTTGTGGTATGTTTCCAATATTAAAGCTGATCATTTCTACTGTTTTTTTTTCTGTAGGTGTAAAATGGAAGTGCCATGGTGATGTGGTTCTCTTGCTGAGGAAATTCGTTCCAGTAATTGCTGCTCAGAAAAGTGATTGAAATTAAACTGGTTCTCGACAAGAAAACACAAAGGGTGGACGGTAGGCCAGGACCTGTGCTAACGGATGCCTGTTGCACTGCCTTTGATGGCTCTCTTTATCCATTGCACTATGGACAAACAGTTGCTTCCTGTATTCTGTACATGGGCTCGATGCCTAAATTGAAAGCCTGCACTGCCTTGAGTGTAAATCAGGAGTTGTACGAGAAGCTGTTCTTGAGATGCAAGCTGCCTCTGATGTATTCTTATACTGGAGATGCAAACACTGCCTCTGATGCCTTTTTTTTTTGGACACTGAAATATTTTCTAATGGGTCAGAAAAAAGATTTCAAACTCTGAAATATTTTTCAAAATATTTGCAGTTGGCAGTTCTTGAAGTTCATTTGCATAATTTAATTTCTGGTAAATATGTAAAAAAGGCACTTCAGTTCCATGTCTATTTTGTACATAATCGTATTTATAGAAAGACAAGTGGAAAATTATTGGAGTTGTTTGTATTACTGTTTTGTTACTGAAGAAAGTTGTTTTATAAATATTTTTTCTAAATAAAATGAAATGAAGTTTCTGAAATCCTGTTCTTGTGGCTTTCATGCTTATTGGAGTATATCATTATGTAAACTAATTATCCCTTGATGTATATTTGTATTCCCCTGAACAGTTCAGATTTTTTTATGATTCTTTGTCAATTATTGTAATTTATTCAACTTCTCAATATACAATGCCCTATATTTATTTTGCAATTCTTAGTAATAAATCATGTCTAGAAAATATTTCATTAGTTTCGCCCACAAAATGTACAATCAATTCACTTTACAGCATATTCTGTGAAGCACTTTGAGACGTCTTGAAGATGTGATAAGGTGCTATATCAACTACAAGGATTATTATTATTGATTTTGACTGAATCCTAAAACCTTTCACAACTACATCATTGTTCACAATCTACAATGGAAGATTATTTAGCAATTGTGTGCTCACCTCAACCAGCCCATGCTATTTGCAATCTAGCTTTTTATTCTTCTGCTTTTTTTGTTTCTTGAAGCATTTATAATTTATTTCGAGGTTTGCTTCTAAATGCACTAGTTACTCTAGTACCTTGCCCAATGTATCTCCCCGTGTGAGCATTTTAATTTAATCTTGGAATCCTCTTGAGTCTTCCAGCAGAGTATATGAACATGGAAGCTGTGCAGTGAGTGGGAGCTTTCTTCCCTTTTGTAGTGCAACTGGAACTTCAGAATATTTAATACAAAGTGGAATCTGAATTGCATCTTGTGTTCATTGTTGAATTACCTTCCCCACACCCTTCCTGTGTTTGGGCAAATACACATTCCTCTTAAGTCTGTGGGTCACATATGTGAGGTGCCAAATGGCTATTGGTTGACCTGCTGCGATGTTTTTTAAACAGGAAAGTAATGCACTTGGCTTGATTTTCTCATGCTGGCTTATTTCACGTGTTTCCCTAGTTTAAATCCTTTTTTTTTTAACTCTTGCATTATCCAGTGAGGATTTTCTTAACACTTTGATCTTGGGTTTATACTCTCAATCTCCTCATTCATTTTCGGCATTTTATGAGAAGATTGAGGGAGAAAGTGAAACCTTATGGTGCAACCCTGGAATAAAGCTGGTTGGAGTCTTGATTGGTTTATAATTGGAAGATTAAAACATTTTCTTTCATTCCATTGCATTATTTTACACATAGTTAATTACCTATTGTTGGAACAATCAGTCGTAAACGTATGATGGGTTTATTTTTGGGCTTGTTGGATGGATTTTAAAAAAAGTTTTAACCCTTTTAATTTTTTTGTATGAATAAGTATTGATGGCCAACATCCATTTTTCTAAATTCATTTAGCCATTTAGTATAGTGGTTTTACAAAACAATTTTACATAATGCATTTTCCTCTAACATAGTAAAGTGTTATTACTATACAAAAGTACTGAACTATTTCAGAGTGAAAACATTTTAATATTCAGGATTTAAAACTAAAAGATTACAGCTTGTTTAGGGGAATATGAAATATAAAAAAATCAAGTTTAGAACAGTATAATCCTGTAAAATAGAAACCATTCTGCATGACTGTAATGAATATATTGGTCAGGAATAAATTGAAATTTAGGGGAAATTTAGAGAGATTAGTGACTGGAAAGTGTATATCTAAACATGTTTGCAGATGATCAATTCATCTTCTGCAAGCACAACATATTACTCAATGTATATTTGTACAAATTCCAATATATTGTATACAATAAAGAAAATAACCAATTATAGTGTACAATTAACTAAATACTTCACTATTTGCAAGTATTTAAATAGTAAGATCTGATTGGTACTTAAATCTTCCATTCATTTTATGAGATAATTATTCTGTTAAGGATATAATGACAATTTTAATTGTGTGCAGTTTTTAATAATTGCTTAGCCTTGAATTTTCATATGGTGCCTTTCATGTTGGAAGTATGTCTCAAAGTACTTCACAGGATTTTGTGTAAAATGTGATGTGTACTTTTATAGATGAACAAGGCAGCCAACTTTGTGGAGCAATGCCCCACATTGAAGCAAAATGACCAATTTTATCTGGGGATTATTGACCAGTATACTGGGGGGAAACTCCCTTATGTTTTTCATCTGTAAAAATGATGGAAAATATAATCTGTATATTTTATCAGTAGTTCAGACATTCTTCCCATTGCATGTAAACATTATCAGTTATGATTATCTATATTACAAAAAACTGTACATATTGTTAGATCATTGAAGCAGTAAGGGACAGACAATACATTTTAAAATTGAAGGATTTGATCTTAGGTCAAATTCTTCAATCATGCTGTCTACTATGTTACAGCCTACTGCACTCCTAATATCATTCAATTACTTTTAAAGACATTTGTAACCAATATTTATAATTTATTTCAATCCGTGGGTGTTATTGCCAAATTCTTTGCTACCTTACAAGGTCTCTTCACCACCATCCCAGTCTGGTGGATCATTCCGATTGATTGTTGTGGAGCGATTCAAGAAATAATTACATTGGATACAATTCAATTAAATAAAATAAAGATTGGAGCAATATTGACTTTGTGCCACTAAATGTTATAAGAACAAGTTTTAAACATGAGAGGACAAGCCTTGTGGGCTGTATAATCCTTTGCATCCAGATTTATGATGTAACTACAAATACACAGTCATTACATTTGATAACAATTCCCTGTGAAGTGCTTTGTGACATCTCAATGTTATAGGTGATGTAACAAAACAATTATTATTTGCAAAGCACAGCAAAGGCACCCTGGGGAAACATCAACTTTTATCTAAGTTTTAACTCTTTGAATTCTATACTGGACACTTGGAGAAAAATGGATATGGTAATTTGAAAAAACTTCAAATTGATCAATCCCAAATCTTAACAGATTGAGACTGAATGATAACTGCAGCTCTGTGACAAATTAAGATTAATGCATGTTGTACAGTGTAATCTTAAGTACTTATTGTGTAAACAAAATCATTTACAGTTTACAAGCATCTGAAGACCACCACCTAAAACAAGGAAAGGATACATTTTAAGACAATCTTATAAAGTTGACAGCTGGCAGCCTCTTATTAGTTACGAAAATAATATATTTTATCCTGTTTCTAAACATGGGGGGCTATAACCTGCATTTTAAAATTTAAAGTTAAATTAGTGTTTGAAAAGCATGCTAACAAAACCATTGGAAAAAGGTCATATTTTCTCACTGAAGTGTTGTTAGGTTAATAATAATAAGCCTTGCATTTGATATAGCGCTTTTCATGTCTCCTAGACATCGCAAAGTGTTTCATAGAATATACCGTAAAGTGAATTGACTGTATATTTGTGGGCGAAGCGGGCAGCCAATTGCGCACAGCAGTGTCCCACAAACAGTCGTGGATTGAGTGACCAAATTATTATTGTTTTTTTTTCTTGAGGGATTATTATCAGGCGTGTGGAGTAAGGAAACTTGCCCAAGGTTTCACCCTGTTGGAAATCAAACCCAGGTTTCTCTCTTGCAAGGCGAGTGCTCTAATCACTGAGCTACAGGACTCTACATTCTGAATGACTGGAGAATTCGGACCTTTTAATACTTTCTTAGATCTCACGTGATTACATGCGTTGCATGTGATATGATTACAGCAGTTCTTTTCTGTGTGTCTTTCTGGAATATTATGCAGTTGACAGAGGTGTCATGGCTTGAGAGCATAGCAAGTATCCGGTTTGTTGCCTGACAACAGGTGGAACAAATAGCCTGTTAACTCCATCAGGAAATTTCCTCAAGTTAAACTACCTCACCTCCTGTGGGCAATGTACACCAGGAAGCTTGAGACCTACATTCTGGTCACTAAGAGAAAATCTCTTCTTGGATTAATGATGGTGGTGAGAGTGAAATGTATTCAGATGCCCTTCAAGCCATGTCTTGGGTTTCAAATTGCAGCCTCACAAGTTTTAGTCTGATGAAAGAAAGGCTGCCAAACATTCTGTGCTGTTTTATCTGGGGTCTGGCGTCAGATATGAGTGCTTATGGACATTGGCAAATAGCAGCTGTTGAGACACATGAATCATGAATCTACATTGCATTACACAAACCACTGTGGCCTCAGGGCCAACCTGTCATCCTCTGCTGATGTGGCAGTCTCTGAACATTTTGACAAACTGGCTATCTGTTCTCTGGAGCAGATTCTATGTGAATAAGGATGAAACCATTCCTGGCTATTATCTTTTCAGTGAGATCATGGTACAGGATGATACAAGCATCTGTCATCGATTTTTCACAATCTATAATCAAATGCTTTCGAAGAATAGGAAGTTATTTTAGCAAAGCGTACTGTCCAGGAGTTGCTGCTGATTCTGTTTTTGTCTGCTAAACTTGTTAACTTCATTTGCTTCTCCTTACTGCACCATTATCCTGAGTGCTAACTTTAGAGCTACTATTGTACAGTATAGGAATTAGCTGCAAAGCAACACAACATTCTGCACTCTTCTAGCGCTGTCCAATGGCCTTACCAACAGCTTCTCTCTACAATCAGCTGAAATGTCACCGTTGAATTCGCACTGAGTAACTCACTTGCTCATTTCAACTGAAACAACTTCATGCTCATCTACAGCATTTTACCTGCATCTTGGTAAGAATAATAAATGCAAGGTTTGGCTGGGAATGGGAACGGGTTTATGCAGAATAGCATCTTATCTATGGACCAAGCTATCCAGATCAACATATTTGCTGTAATACCTGTTGAACTGCAATCCCAGGTATCAAAATATTCATTAGTGTAGAACCCAGATACGCAAAGGCAAAAAAACAAATTGTTTTGATCCAGAAAACACTATTGATTCTAATGATATCTAAAAACGAAACTGAGCTGAGAAATTAGCTGCCCTCAAGGTTCATTCATTTAAGCTGTTCTTGTGAATCATTGTTATCTCATTCAAGTGGTAACTAGCAACATAAAGCCTCCACAAGTCATCAAAGTCAGATAACTACAAAGAGGTATTGGCGCTGCCTAGGTGCCAAGCTCACATAAGAAACACAATGGTGGGGAAAAAGCCTTTGTAAC